TCATTTGACCAGTAAAGAGAGAGCCAATAGATTATATATAAGCAAAGAAAGATGGGAGCACAAAAGAATTTTAAATCATGCACAAACATAACAGCTTGATAGCTTGATTGACATAGTGGTGCAGTCCTGCAATTATTTTATTGTATATTTTAAATATAATTAATCATATGTTTTTAATAAAACAAACATGGCTTAGCTATTTAATCATTTCCTTCATTTCTTTGTATGTGAATGCCTCCATCCATTGAATATTCATGGTGGTCATGATTATTATGTGATACATTTGATATCATCATTGACATAACAAACAATTGCATCACCCAAGTAGTAATGATACCAATGCCATGCAGAAATGAAACTTTTAATAATGTGTCTACCCAGATCTCTGGGGTTCACAAATAAATTACTTTTCCCAATTATCAATTATGGTTCCTTATGAATAATAAATTTGATGTTAATTGCAGGTGTCAGATTTAATTAAAATTTCCTATCACAAACATGCAAGTGCTGCGCAATTAAGCACGCTCCATAATTGTGGAAATTTTTTCCACAGGTGAAACGATTGAACATGTTGGAAGACTTTGGTCAAAACATTCCTTATCTTCCTCTCAGACCAGGCTAGATACCACCATATGGGCATTGATTGCTAATGGCTGACATTTGTGTGATTATTTCATTGTGTTATACCCCTCTAGAATAAAGTTGGCATCTGCAATTGGTTCAAAATTCTCCAACTCAGGAGGTTACAACCTGGATTGTTGTTTTGGATTTTCCCTGGATTCAGAGTTTTGAGTCCTGGGTTGCTGTCTTGTTGGTGGCACACCAACTCACCAACAACCCTACCCCATTTATTTAAATAACAAGTTCAGTTGGTCAAACAAAAATTAAAGAAAACAGAGTATTTATGAAAATTATTAATTTATATGTAACATACCTAAAGCTCCTCACAACCCAAATAACTTAGTAAGTTCTCAAGCCAGCTTCCGAGCTGGCTCATGTAAAGCCTTAAACATACCAAACAAAATCTAACCGTTTTATTTTACAGCTTCCTCTTAACATCAGAGCCAATGCAATTTCAGGGCCACCAACCCTGCTCTGAATTATGACTTCCTGTGCTTGAACGAGCTGCAGGCTCTCTTTGCTTTGATGGATCTGGATATTTACATGGCACTACAATTCATCAGCAGAGTTACAGAGCCACCCTTACCCTAGAGGTGGGACCATTGCAGGCAACTTTTTGGCTACCTTCTCTGGTCTGGGAAGATTAGTGAAAATGTCATTGACAATTGATGCAGCCTCAGTAAACTCCAGAGCCATGCCCCTTCTCCCTCGAGTTCAGTTGCATCATTGTATCATGAGAGGGAGCAGGTCTGATTAGCCTTATGTACACAAGGAACGTGTGAGAATCACTGTAAAGTGTTCAAGGTAGTGTGCATGCTTCAACGCCTGCCAATTTCCGATAATCAAACATTGCATATTTGAATTGTTTCTTTTTAAACGGTGTATTGCCTTAACATATTGTAATTATATATTAATAATAGTATTATTATTACAAATATGCAAAGCAAAATATTATTAATGAAAATCTTGTAATTACCCAGCAAGATCTGCTCCGCGTTTTGATTCCAATTAAAATATTTATAAGCTAAAATAAGACACCTCATACATATCGATACAAATAAAAAAAAGTACCTCTGGTTAGTTATTAACACATATTCTTTAGGAGACCCAAACCAAACCAAACAACAACACTCACGTTTTGTCACCTTGGACACTGTCAAAAAATAAATTGCCTTTCCAAAAAAAAAAAAAAAAATCAATCAATTTGCGTCTGTCCTATATACCAAAAAAACCAATAGGATAAATAATTAATGTGTACGCATCGATCAAACCACAAACTTTTTTCTTTTTAAAAATGATGAAAAAAAAACAATTAAAAAAAAGAAATCGAGAAAAAGAGACCAAAGATACATATGGGTAAGTGTCTCCACTCATTAAAACGCAAAAGTCAAATTTTATATTTTATATTTTTATATAATGTCACATGCCAAATTATTATCATCACTATCATCAGAAAGAATGGAATTTGTATTTAAAATTAATGGTGAAATGCGTAATAATGCTGATGCTAATGAGAGAGAAATTAGAAAAGATTATTTTTTTTCATTAGTCAACAAAAACAAGAAGCTTTCTGAAAATGAAAAAGAATATTGTAAAGAAGATTTTATTTATTATTTTGAATTAAGTAATGCAAGAAATAAAAAGGGTAAGCCTAAAGAATGGAACAAGTGTAAATTGACAAGATAATCTGATAGGTTCTGTGAAGGTTGTATTAGTTTACAATTACAGAGACTTTTTACCACTTGGACATCTGGAAATAACATAATTGATGATTTTATTCAAAAATGTCAAATGAAATCATCTCTGCCAACTCATATTTTAGAATGGATACCTTTTGAGCAATTTGAAGATATTACAAAGTTAACTGAAGGTGGATTTAGTTCAATTTTTACTGCTACATGGATAAGAGGAAGAATAGCTGATTACAATGAAAATAAAAAGGAATTTAATTATTTAGGAAAGCAACTAGTAGTATTAAAAAGATTAAACAATTCAAGTAATCCAGGAAAAGCCTTTTTTGATGAGGTTGGTAGTTATCATTTAAAACAAAATAAACAATACTGTATTATATAATAAATATTAATCAGTTTTTATATTTAATTACAAGCAATGAATTATTGTAAATTTAAAACAGCATTTATTGTTAAGTGCTATGGTATAACTAGATTCCCAGATAATGGAAATTATGCAATTGTTTTAGCTTATTTACCAGAGGGAAATTTAAGGGACTATTTACAAAAAAATCACTTAAATTTAACACTAAAAGACAGAATTACAATCTTTGATTATTTATGAGATGCATTAGGTTATATACATGAAAAGGTTTAATCCATTGTGATTTACATACTGATTGCAAGGAGGTAATTATTTTATTATGGATTTAGGATTATGTGGACCAGTTGATGAAAAGTCATCAGATAAAGTCTATGGAATTGTATCATATGTTGCACCTGAACTACTTAGAGGCAAAAAGAATCTGATATTTATAGTGTTGGGATTATACATGCAGCCCAAATTGGTTTGGTGATTTTGATGGTCAAAATTATTTCAATTTTGATGGTAGAAAGTAGAAATTAATTACGGCATTCACTATTAAAAACATAAGTGTAACACCCCTTTACTAAATGTGTAACCCCTTTATGACAGTGTCAGAATACTTTGGGCTGCATGTATAGTTGGGATGTTAATGTGGGAAATATTTGCAGGTCATCCACCATTTGATGATAGAGCTCACAATTATTGTTTGATTTTTGATATATGTGCAGAAGGTTTATGACCACCAATATTACCTGGAATGCCTGAAGACTATGCACAAATGATGCAAAGGTGTTGGGATGTGGATCCATCAAAAAGACCAACTAGTAGAGAGCTTTATGATTTTGCTGATAATAAAAATAGCAAAATTATTAATGATGATGATAGCAGGAATACTACTAATGGCAGTGGTAGTGGTAGTGCTTTTCTACAAGCACACAAATCACATCCAGATGCATATCATAAAAGTAGAATATTAGATGAAGAGATTGCTAAATCTAAAAGCTTAAAAATTTATACAAGTAATAGTTCGTTAAATGATCTTGATTGTGACTCTTCTCTCTAAATGTTAACAAAGGTGAATAAAAATTTTATTATTAATTAATTGGAGATTACTAACAATATTTTTTAATTAATTCTAGTAATTATAGTAAATTTAAATTTAATCTCCACTATTATAATTATTTATCTTTTTATTTTATCCTTATTTTATTTTTTATCTTGTAACAATATTTTAATAAACTCCTTACAGTTTTCTGATTCTTGATAAATGATGATATTGCAAGGTATCATTTCAGTTAATTAATAATTATGACCCAACTTTTGGGCTACTCTTAAATTGCTTTGCAAATAAACCAAAGCAAGTTTGCAATTGGCAACAACTGAAATAAGTTGATCACAAGTGAATAAAAAGAAATTTATAGCTTTGTAAAAGGCCATATTTATTTATTTATTTACAGTTATTAAGTGTGCTTACAGATTTGTATAGGTCCAAGAAAGAGACAGTAATCGAGAACTAGTATAAATTTATAAACTAATTGCTATTAACTAACTTGTTTAACAGCCTTATGCTTACGACTACAATAATACTACTAGTATTTTCCAATTAACCTTGGACAATACTTCGTTAGCACACACATGTTAGACCTAACCTCTCTTGCTCACTAAAGCAAATAAATGTGGCTTTTTACCAAAGCTCCACAATTGTTACCTTTTATCAAGACATTAACTACATTTGTTGCTTTTATCAAGGATAGTGTTCCATGTCGCAATCCAAAAAAGGAAACAAAATGGTCATAAAGATGATTTCAATCATTTTTATATGACGCAAAGATGGTAGCAACCATCATCAAAAGTTGCAGCCAGTATTCTTAATCAAGGCACTTTAAACAAAGGAAATAAAGACAATGTTTTTATTTAAAAATTAATTTTATTTAATAAATAATGATTCTATCAGAGTTTTGTTTCATTAGAATGTTAATTATCCCCTGCGAGGACCAGAAATTATCATTAATGAAATTTTCATTGATCAATCCAATAAGGATAAAGATAAGGATAACTTAATCAATAAATATTGATATTATAAAACTTCCATAATTATTTACAGTGATTTGATGATAATTAATACACTACTAAAATTAGTTAATACCCAATCATGTATTCAGCAAAAACAAAGGAGAGATTCGGATACACAAGAAAACTATACAAGTTTTTTTTGTAAGCTTTTATATTTTATTAGCCTTTAAAACAATTTTACTTACATCATTTTTGACTTGATGGTAACGAATTTGATGTAATAGTTTTATGTACAACTTTGGTAACATTTCATCAAACAACATTAAATGTTAAAGTTTAGGTGTCAAATTTAATGGAACTATCCTTTCCACACATATGCAAGTGTCTTTTTGTTACTCTGTTTAGAAAATCTAAGGCAACCATGCATTTTCCTTTCAGATGGTCTTGTGGTGCAGATTTATCACAGCTTTAACAGGTTCATGCCTTGAGTCCTTGTGCATGCTTCAGTTTTCCTAACAAGATCCTAATCATAAATAGAATATTTTTTAATGTTAAAAAAAAAATATAAAAATTATACATGGTGAGTCTCAGTTTGGAAGATTTCGGTTAACAGGTTTAGGTTTTAATGGATAAATTTTCAAAACCAAATTTTTTATTACTATTACTATAATTATTTTATCTTTCTTTAACAAATTACTAATTATAACAATAACAAATATAAAAGATCTTATTTTTATTATTATTTTTCTCGCAAAAAATCCATGGTCGCCAAATCATTCTATATATATAGTAATAATGAGTATTTTTTAATTTTTTTTTTGTTTGTTATAGAGGAATTAATAATAAAAAAATGAAAATGAAAAGAAGTGCGATTTTCACATATATAGTACCTCAAGATCAACTTGTGAATAGATTTTCAAACCCATTGTTTTAATTATATCTTGTAAAACAACCAATGAAATAATGTGCTTTAGCATCCCAGTTTGAAGCAACATAGGTTGATCAATATTGGCACTTATAACGAACAATCTTTACATAGCACATAAGACAGGTTGTGGTACATATTTTTTGTAACTTTTAATTTTGTTTTCTATTTTTATCACTTTAAATTTCAAAGAATTCTTTTATTGTTGAATCACGATAAATCAATTACTAGAGTTTGGTAATGATGAAGTTGTTCTTTAAACAATGCAATTTTGGCTTTCAATTTACATCCTTATCAACTAGAGAAAAACTTAAAGACAATCAAATAAACCATAGAAAAAAAAATTATTTGTTATACATCATTCAATTCTCTGCAAAGAAAATCAAGTTTTTAAACGAAAAAATAACAGTGAATTTCGTGAAATACAGATTAGTATTATTATAGTGCAATGATATTTTTTGATGTCATAATATTATAAAGTCACATGGCTCAATCACTTACATATATATTCATTTGGAGCATCAAGATTAGCACCGGATGTGAGGCTAGCATCCTATCATTTATTCATGATCAATGATATAAAAATAGACTATCTCATGGCCAGATAGTGCATTGATTGAGTAGTCTAATAAATTATAACAAAAACATATAAATAGACCCACTACTCCCATTTGTGGACCAAAAAATTGCAAAAAAACAGAGCATCGGTCTTTCTTTTTACATTGCATTCAAATTCGAGGGTTGAGACACATAGTGCTAAAATGACATTCTATGTATTATTTGGCTTTACATGTTATATTCTATCTATATATCAACATTTGCCAGTCATATTATTATAATATCAATATTTTTATTTTATTCGTTTGAGAAAAGTTTATTTAAAAAATTACACATACAAAGGAAAATTGACACGAATTTAATAATTTCTTTTCAAAGAAGAACCCTCATGTGAAACAAAAGTTATTTACAAATTTCGATTGTTAAAAAAATCAACTAACTGATTTTTCCTAATTAAAAAAAAGATCTTTTTGTCCTGATCTTTTCCTCGTGTTTTTTTTATTTATTATCCCAGATTAAAGATCAATTGGATTTATTGGATTTTTTTTTCAAGTCTATCCGAAAGGAATAAAAACAAAATTTTTCCTATCCAAATCAAAATCAAAAAAAAATTGTACATGTTGTTTTTGTTTATCGACCATTGAATTGGTTGATAATAATAATAACAACAACAATTAAAATGTAAAAATGTGTTTTGAATCACATGGTCTCGTAACCTGAAAATATACTAACATGATCTGGGATCTGAGGTAAAGGCACCAAGGCAAGGCCATAAGTTTTGGTCGTTTTGAATGGTCTAAAACATCAGAGAAAGACGAAAGCCTAATGATAGATACCATGCAAAAACATCTAAAGTGAAACATGATTTCTTTTCAGTCAAGTATCTGCTTCGCTTAACTCTGACATTTTGATAATTTTTCGGTTACCAAATAGAAATGATAATTTATACAGTGATGTAAAATAACTATATAGTTAACTTTTATTTTTTTTCTTGGCACTGGTTTTATTTTTCTTTTCTCCTTTGGGGCAATCCTTTTGGATTATTTGAAATCTTAGCTTTAAGCGCGAATAGGATGTTCATATCTCTTGTAAACGTTTTTTAAAGTTAGCAAAATTATTTAATTGATGCTTCTTCATGAGCCTTAATTTATTTATTCCAAGAAGTGTTTTGCTTGGATAATATTAAATCACATGAGCTGGCTTTAGCGATTGAGGGATGATTGACATTGTACCGGTTTAATTTTGTTGTTTCTTACATTAATAAAAAATTCAACCAAAAAAGTCAATTGACATTGTACTGGTTTAATTTTGTTGTTTTCTTATGTTAAAAAAATTATCCATAATAAGAAAAACAATCATAAAAACTTGGTAACAAACTCATGTGGCATATTTTAGTTACATTTAAGTGTGTTTGTTGATATTAAAAATAAGTGTAAAAAAATTTAAAAAGGAAACGCACAAATTGAATTTTCTTAATAATTCTTAATTTTTTGTTCTAAAGTTAATAATACTTAAAACATACTTATTTTATACTATATAAATTTAATTTTTTATTCTGAAGTTAATAATATTTAAAGCATACTTATTTTATACTATATAAATTTTAATTTTTGTATAAGTGGAAAATAAGTATATTTTAAATACACAAATGTTTCTATTACTGCAAAAATAAGGATGTTTTAATGATAAAATAAGTGTATCCAATCAATTTTGTAAAAAATTAATGATCATTATTTTATGAAATGTGCTAGGAAAACCAGGCTTCGAGTTTCGTGTTACGTGTAATTTTCATATGTTTTCGTTATGAAAATTACACGTAACACGAAACTCGAAGCCTGGTTTTCCTAGAGTGTCCCCACATGTCAAAACATACTTAAAACATACCTCTATAAGAAGAATAAGTATAAAATAAGTATTTAAACTTTGCATAGGGTCATTTATAAGGTTGCTTGCCAAAACTCATCCAGAAATCAATCAGCAGGGTTTCGGCAGGTTACACATTAATTGTTTATTAGAGTTTCTGCAGAGTTTCGCATTTTGAGGTTTCGCCTTTCGTCATAGTTTCAACAGGATTTTTGATAAGATTTAATATAGTTTTGCTGTTGTTTCAGCAATTACTAAGGAGGTTTCGCCCACAACCTTAGTCATTTATATATATGACCACAACAACCAAGACAACCAGCACTCAGAGAACAGCTAAACTTCTACTACCAAGAAATTCAGTCATTACAACACTCAACCCAGGTAAATCAACTACAAATCTGCCAACTATATCAACTATGACAATCAGAACAATCACAAATTGATTAATTTATGGGACAATTCATATATATTTTTGCATCCTTTTGTTTTTTTTAATATTAATTTTTTTAATTGTTGTATTCAATAAATAAATAAAAAATCTAAATCTTTTTCATTTGCATCAAATTTTTTAAAAAATGATGATTTGGGAATGTTAGGATTGCACAATCTATGAAAAGGAACTTTATAATCAATCTGTAAACCCATGTCTTCGCATCATGTGCTCTATACTCACTATAGTTGGCTTGGTCTAAAGACCTAAATTTTGGGCAAATTTTAAAAGTATAGAAGTCACTTTCTGTCCTACCTTTTAAAAAAATAGCTCTATTAGTTGATAGAATATGTCTTTAGTTTTAATGTAATAGAGAGATTTTCTCAAAAAAATTATTTGTTGTAGAGTTCTATTCTTTTTTAAAACATGTACTCTATATACTATGCTCGCAAGGAATTTGTCCACTATGATCATTTCTAAATTAGGAGTATATTACCAAATTTAGACTAGCTCTTGACTATCGTATTTAAAATTGGCAGTAATACCTAGGGGTAAGTAAATAAATGGGGGACAACTCGATGTTACACATATAGATTTTGTGAATCCAAAACTGTCACACACTATGAAATTACTAGTATTTATTAATAGAAATAAATAAAACGCAAAACACGTACATATTGTAAAATAAAAATTTATATATCACCACATGTTAAAATTTTTTTCCTTGTAAGAACAAATCTTCAGTTTCCTTTTAATATAACTTTAGTAAAGAAACTCTCCTATAGCTTTTTTAAAAAAGGATCGGTTATAAAAAATAGATTTTCTTTTATTTTCTTTTGTATTTTGAATGTTACACTTATTATTTGCAAGTTTAAATATATATATATACATACAATTTTAAGCATTATAAAACATTAAATAAAAAATTTTTTTTGTACATTCCTCCCATGAAAAAGTATGAATGAAGATTTTAAAAAACACTTTTAACTTTTTTAAGTATATAGAACAAATAAATTGATTATACTGTATTTAACAAGATACCTTGATGTGTGACTTGAATGATTCATAATGTTTGAACAACCTAGTATTGTGCGTTGGAGTTGGTAGAGTTCATAAACTTTACTTTTGTCCCCGATTCATTTTTTCATAATTTTTCTATGATGAGCATTTTAGTATAAACACTCTATGACAAACATCTTAGTAAACATTCTCTATGACAAACATCTTAGTAAACACTCTCCATGACAAACATATGCGAAAGTGTTACAGAAGCATGCTATTCCTTCGCTTTATAAATTAGTTCCTCGCAATCAAGGAATT